GATAGATAATATTTGTTACTATTGTTGCCATTGAGTCAGCTCCAACTCACGGTGACCCTATGTGCGACCAAATAAAATGTTGCCTAGTCCTGTCCCATTTTCAAGATTGCTGGTGTGCTCAAATCCACTGTTGCAGCTACTGTATTTAAAGTGCTTTCCAGCCTTAGGGACCCATCTTCCAGCACTCTGTCAAACAATATTCTCTTGTAATACATTAAGTTTCCTTTGGCCAATTTTTGGAAGTCGATTACCAGGCCTTTCTATCTTAGTTTGGAAGTGCTGCTGAAACCTGTCCACCATGGGTAGTCCTGCTGTATTTGAAATACCATTGGCAGTACCCTTCAGGCCCAGAATTGAATTCATTCCCATGGCTTCCAACCAAACAATAGACAAGTGTATAAAGTGAACACTTACACCAGGTAGGTACACTCCTTAGGACACTCAACCACGGGAGATCAGAAGGCAGCATTTGCACAGGGAGATAGCTCAGAGGGCAGGAATGCATAGGAAAGAAGGACATAGGGAAAAGGTAACCACAGGGAGGAAATTAAAAGAGAGCTGTTATGTTACAGGGATTCCAATCAGTGTCATGAAACATAATGTGTATGAACTGTTGGTATATGGAAAATGAGTTTGCTCTGTAAACTTTCACCCAAATCACAATTAAAAAGAAGAAGAAGAAGAAATTCTATCAAAAAAAAAAAAAGAAAGAAAGAAAAGAAATACCAGTGGCAGAGCTTCCAACATCACAGGAGCATGCAAGCCACTACAGTATGACAGGCAGACAGGTGGTGGATGTACTATTATCCATATTTTATAGCTGAGGAAACTGAAGCTTAGGGAGATTCAGTAACTAGTTCAAGGCTAGATTCCAAATAGTGTGGCCTTAAATATCATGCTCCTTTATTGGAAGAAGAGACACAGAAGCTGCAGCCTAAAATTAGACCATAGGAAGATGCAGGGTATGAAACTAGGCCCTGAAGTCTTTCCATTTGCATGTTCTACCAGCCCATATGCTCAGGTTCAGCCTTGGCCAAACCACTGAAAGCTATGGTTTATATTCCATGCTGTTTCTCTAGACTTTTTTACTAGTATATGGGGTGCCCAAACCAGTTGCCATTGAGTCGACTCTGACTCATGGTGACCCTATGTGTGCCAGAGTAGAACTGTGCTCCATAAGGTTTTAAATGGCTGATTTTTCAGAAGTAGATCACCAGGCCTTTCTTCTGAGGCATCTCTAGGTGGACTCAAACCTCCAACCTTCAGTTAGCAGAACTGAGCACATTAACTGTTTATGTCATCCTGGGTCTCTGTGGGGTACCCAGGGCCTTTTAAAATGCCAGTTGCTTTGTGCTGCCTAATTGTGGCCTTACCCAGGGCACCTCAAGAAGCACTCTCTGCCAGTAATGTCTTATGTTTAAAACGTGTTCATTCTCACCATCCCTGTTTCCATAAAAATGTCACATTTCTTGTCACTCAGGGTCTTGGTCTCCTGATGGTGTCCCAGTAGGCTCCACTAGAGGAAAAGAAAGCTGTTACCTCTTACAGGGGTTATCTGAGCACACGGCTGATGTGGATGACAGTAGAAGCAGTCCAGAGCAAGTGCCAGGGCATAGCTGGGCAAAGAGAGCATAGTAGCATGAGGACTATGCCCCAGTGACTATTGTCACTGACACCCTGACCCAGCTGCTTCAGGGCTCAGGAACCAGAAAGGGATGGAACTTACAGGAGGAGGTATTGGTTCATGAGGCTACCAGGAACAGAAAAAACTGAGGAGCAAGGGTGAAGAATGGGAGTTGGAGAATATACACTGCTAAAACTGTTAGATCTTGGAGTCCCTGGATGATGCAAATGGTTAATGCACTTGGCTGCTGTGATAGTTGGAGCTGTGTGTCAACTTGGCTGGACCACAATTGTGTGTGGTTTAAGCAATTGTGATGTGGGTTGTTCCCATGCTGGGATCAGATGAATATGTTTTGAGCAGCCAATCCATTGAAAGGGAGTTTCCCTAGGGGTGTGGCCTGCTTCCAGTATGTTTATGGACATCCTGGGAAAGGAGACATTCTTCTGTGGATTGGGATTCTGTTGTGCTGCCTACAACTGTCTGTGAGCAAACAATCCACTGTTCGCCCTGGAGATCTTGGATTCATCATTTGTAATAGTCAACAGCCAGTAGTATACTGCCTGCCAACTTTGAGCTAGGCAGCCCCTGAAGCTGCGTGAGTCAGGAAAAGCCTCCATCTTGACATTTGATCCAAGAACTTTGGACTTGCCAGCTTACTATAAGTGTGTGAGCCATTTTATTAAGATAAATTTTTCTTTCTCTCTTTCTCTATATAAGCTTTACTGGTTTTGCTTCTCTAGAGAACCCAGTCTAACACAGTTGTTAACTAAAATGTTAGAGAGGTTTGAGTCTGCCCAGTGGTGACTTGGAAGAAAGACCTGGTGATCTACTTCTGAAAAATCAGCCATTGAGAACTCTGTGAGTAGAATTACCATATGACCCAGGAAATCCCAGAAGTGAAAGCAAGAACACAAACAGAAACCTGTACACCAATGTCAGTGCAGCACTTTTCAAAATAACCAAAAAGTAGAAACAATCAGAGTGAGCACCAGTAAATGAATGGATAAACAAAATGTGGTACATACATACCATGGAATATTACTCAGTCATAAAAAAGCTATGAAGTCCTGATGGAGACATTAACACAGATGAACCTTGAAAACATTATGCTGAGTGAAATAAGTCAGCCATAAAAGAACAAATACTGTATCATATCATTTATATGAAATAGGCAAATATATAGAAACCAAAAATTATTATTGGTTAACAAAGGTGAAGGAAGGAGAAAGGGGAGTTTTTGCTTAGGAGACATTGAGTTTATATTAATGGTAGTGGAATGATTTAGAAAAGGATAGAAAGAATGGTTGCACAACATGATGAATGCAATGAATGTCATTGAATTACAGAAATTGTAGAAACCGGTGAAATGAAAAATGCTCTGGTGTATAATTTTACCACCAATAAAAAAAATTAAACCCTATGGAGCACAGTTATATTCTGACATGCATGGGTTGCCAAGGGTCAGAGTTGACTGGAAAGAAGCTAGTAGGTTAGGTTATGAGATGTTATCAGAGGGCACAAAGGATGGCTGAAAAGCTTAATGGAAATGTTTCATAAATGAAATGGCACTGTGTATAGACTCAAGCACTCTTTCCCAGACCTGCTTCTCATTGCCAGGAGGGGAACAGGCCTCAGAAGTCTTTGCATCTAAAAACACCACTGTTCCTAAAGATTTATTTCCTTCATTATGCCATATGAAAGAAAAAAAATACCTAGTTTTAAGAGTTTGAAAGAAGGAAAGGATGTGAGAAAACAGATGGTGATGGAGAAGGAGATGAAGCAGGGAAGGAATAGGGCAGAGGAAGGTCTAGGAGGCTGTGCACTTAGAAAGACTTACACACACCATCACAGTACCTACCTTCTGTCCATAGGCCTGAGTTCAGTACAAGGGGCTAAGTGCAATAAGGAACATGCAGAAGGGGTGAGACTTATTCTCTGGCCTCACAGAGCTTGCAGATGTACACAGTAAGTGCCAGACTACCTGGCACAGAACAGACATGCAGAAGTACTGAGTGAGAGAAATTAGCAAGAGGAAAATGAAGAAACTACACCATGGAAGATTGCTTTGGCAGCGAAGAGCACGGTTTGAGTATAGAGAATATGAAATATTTGAATATAGAGGGAAGACACATTCCACACAGGTAGAGAAGGTATGAACCAGAGGTTGGAGATGAGAGTATACACACTAGGTGCAAAGGAGAGTGAAGTAAGCTGCCTTGTTCCAGTGGAGGAGTGTGTGTATGTGTGTGTGTATGTGGGGAAGGGAGCAGTGGGCAATAAGGGGGACAGAGAGGGTGATAGCACATTACAAAGAGCCTTGGCAACCAGACAGAGGAGTTTGGACCAATATGGTAAGAGAGGTGTATAGGTCCTTGGAAGAAGCCCTGGTAGCACAGTGGTTAAATGCTCAGCTGCTAACTGGAAAGTCAGTGGTTTGAACCCACTAGCCACTCCATGGGAGAAAGATGTGGCAGTCTGCTTCTATAAAGATTGACAACCTTGGAAACTCTATGAGACAGTTCTACTCTGTTCTATAGGGTCACTCTGAGTCAGAACTAACTGATTGTCAAGGAGTATAGGCCCTTGGGAGTCTCTGGGTGGTGTAAACTGTTAAGCACTTGGCTGCTAACTGAAAGACTGACAATTTCGGTCCATCAAGAGACAGCTTAGAAGAAAAGCTTGGGGATCTACTGAAAAGTCAGGCATTGCAAATCCTGTGGAGCAGAGTTCTCCTCTGAAACATGGGGTTGCTGTGAGTCGGAATCACCTCAAGGGCAACTGTTGGTTCTTTTTATTTCATGGTTCCTCAGGCTTTCACAGAGTATGTTCTAAACCAAGTTTTCAAATGTTTCACCTGGCAGTTGTGTAAGAAGATAGGTTGGAGAGGGAGGGAGTCTCACTGCCATCAAGAGAGATCTGGAGGTGAAGTGGAGCATGTCCTTGGACCCAAGATCCCTGTGCTGAACTTCCTTGGCAGAGAGACATGCTGAAAGATGCCTGGCTGAGAGATGGTGGCAGTGGAACCAAAAGACAGAAGACAGAGTGGAAACGAGAAAGCAGAGTGCCCTTGGACAGGAGGCTTGCTGGCAGTGCCGGGCGCACCTAGGTGTACCTATCAGCAGAACTCAGAGAGCTTTGTAACACTTGTCTGAGGGCCAGAGAAGCATGCCTGAGGGCATAGCAGAGGGGAGACTGTCCTGATAGAAGAATTGTATCCTAAGAGTGTTCCTGAATCTGAGTTGTAGCCTGTTACCTCCCTAATAAACCCCAAAATCTTAAAAAAAAAAAATAGGTTGGAGGGGGAAGAGAGAATTATGGGAATTTAAGGCAGCCCAGAACAAGCTGCCATTGTGATTTGCCTCCTTTTCTCTTGCAGCACACTTCCATATGGCCCCTCACGTTGATGGAGTTCTTCCTCAGACCACATCAGTATCGATCAAAGAAGAAAGGACTCACATTGTTAACTCTGTTTTGTCTTTCTTATATTGGCAGGTAAGAATTGCATGGAGAAAATCAAGTTAAGCTTGTTATTTAGGGCTCCATGAGATATTTCAGAAAAATGTACTGTTTTATCAAAATCTCTTTATCTTGGGTCAACAAGGATTTAAACATCTATAAATTTTCAGGTGAGAAATATTGTTTGATTTTGATATTCATGGAAATATTCCCTGCACAGAAACACACAGGTTTCCCTGCACACACACACACATACATGGACACAAACCACCCATACCACCTCCATCTTAAGCCATGGGTTTCTGTTTTTCAAGAGTTAGTCAATTATATATATGTATGTATATAATTGTATTATTATGTGTATATATATATATGTATATAATTATATATATATATGTGTATATATATGTATATAATTACATATATAATATATTATTTTCTCAAGAAAATATTGACTCTTGGTTCCATTTGTAATTAATATGTTCAAATGGCTGAATGATTCAAGACATTTAAATATAGTCCATCTACAATAGTACTGGGGGACACCAGACTCAATTGGCACAACAAAATACATAAAAGCCTTGTTCCTCATCGTACATTCGTGAGTAGCGACTGGGGTCTTAAAAGCTTTCAAACGGCCATCTAAGATGCACCTACTGGTCTCCTATTATCCCAAGCAAAGAAGAGTCCAAAAAACAAGGGCATTTGGAAGCAATGAGCCCTAGGACGTGATGGCCCTCAAGACCAGAAGATCTAGATGGTGCCCAGTTACTAATGCCAACCACTCAGGAAAGGATCAAATCTGGAGATGAGTGGAAGGAAAAATGTGGAACAAAATCCAAAAACTCAATAATTGCCAGAATTACTGGTCAGATGGAGTCTGGTGAGATCCCCCAATACTATGGTCCTGGAATACTTTCTGGGCCTAGAATAAAGCTCACTCCCAGGGGCTGGCTCTCAGACCAATAGTAAACAAAATGTACTTGCAGATCACTCAACCCAGGGTGACTCACCCACATACTCTATGGAAATGCATCCCTTGGAGCAACTGACTATGGGGCACCAGAAGGGAAACATTCACACTGAGGAAATGTAGGACACACAGGTGCACAACTATGAGGGGCAGAAGGGACAGGGGGGAGAGGAGACTGGGTTAGGGTTGGGCATGGTAAATGAGGAGTGAAACTACATGTACATGTAATGTTGAATGTAAAACAAACTCTTAACATAAAATTTTTTTTTTTAAAAGACAAACATAAATAAATAAATATAGTCCATCTAAAACGGCATTTCACGAGGGCAGCACTCTAGTTTTTGTCCATTCCTGTTGCATGTATCATTATGGGCTTATTTGCATCAATATCTGGCACTTAAGTTCCTAGAGGGCAATTGGGCAATTGCCCAGGGACCTGCAGAGCAGACTAGCTGGAAGCATGGGAGATGATTAAGTAGCTGGCCTAGGTTTCATCATTCAGCCACCTGGTAACATTACTTCTCAGAAATGCTCCTGAATTATCTAGAATCAAGGGAATGCTCTTGGTTTTCCAACTACTAACTAGAAAACCTCTTCTGCATTCTTACCCAGTACCTCTTCTTACCCAGTACCAGCTTTGTGCTCCTGAGCTATGTCAAGCTCAATATCTACAGATAAAATTGTTGTTGTTGTTATGTGCCATCGAGTCGGACCCGACTCACAGTGACCCCTCCTTGGGTTTCCAAGGCAGTATCACTATGGAAGTAGATTGCCCCATCTTCCTTCTGAGGAGTGGCTGGTGGGTTTGAGCCGCCAGCCTTCTGGTTAGCATTCAAGTGCTTTAGGCACTACACTACCAAAGCTAATCATAATATTCCTTCTCTGATGTAGAGTCACGTAAGTTCTTCATGTCTAATAATTGGGGTAATCCCCCTTCCTACTTATGGGGAGGGGGAAGAAGGAGCCCTGGTGGTGCAGGGGTTAAGTGCTCAGCTTCTAAATGAAAGGCTAGTGGTTCAAACCTACCAGCTGCTCTGCAGGAGAAAGATGTGGCAGTCTACTTCCATAAAGATTTACAGCTTGGAAGCCCAATGGGGCAGTTCTATTCTGTCCGATAGGGTCAGTACAAGTTAGAATTGACTCCATGACAATAGGTGGGGTTTTGCTTGGGGTTATAAACTTCAAAAACCAAACTCACTGCCATCGAGTTGATTCCAACTCATAGCAACCTCTTTTGGGTTTCCTATGTGGAAAACCTTTATGGAAGTAGATTGCACAGTCTTCCTTCTGTGAAGTAGCTAGTGAGTTTGACCTGCCAACCTTTTGCTTAACAGTAAATGCCTTAGGCACTATGCCACCAGAGCTCCTTGAGGTTATATGAGGGAAAATTTAATTGAGTACTTTACTCTGTCCTGAATGGAAATAAAACAGGGACACATTGTTCTGTGGATTGATTAATATTGCCATAAATGAGTAACGTCATCTCTCTTGGGCAACCACCACCAACTGGTCTCCTCATCTATGGACTAGTCTAGTGCTTATTTCATGGACTTCACCAGCCTTTGTCTTGGAGCTTATAACCTTCTGCCAAGAACTCATATTGATGGTTCATCCCTAGGCCTTCCTTCCCTTCAACAGTGTTTGACTCTCCCTCCTTTCTGCATCCTTCTTTTCCTGATTGTCCAAAATCTACCTTGCTTCTCCTGTTCTGACTAAAACACTTGCTCAAAAAACCTACCCCAAGACTTCACTGATCTACATTGTTCTTCAGCTTGTGACCTTAGCATTTTAATAAAGGGCACTCTTAGAGAATAATGCTGAAGTTGGGGATCTACTGGTAGTTGCTGTCTGCAGAACTGTGTGTGAAGGATTTTGAGGGCATATATTGCCCTGCCAAGAAAGAGTTCCATGATTATTTAGCAATGCTTGTTAATAGCATGAGAATGGAGAGTAATGGGATATACACCAGGTATTTGCCACTTCTGGTTTAACCCAGTGAAATAAATCACTAAAGGCAGAATATCTAGGACCTGTGGTGGGGTAAGAGTACATATTCAGTACTAGTTGCAGTCGAGTTGATTTCAACTCATGGTGACCTCATATGTGTCAGACTAGAGCAGTGCTCCATAGGATTTCTAATAGGTGGTTTTTGGAAGTGGACCATCAGGTCTTTGTTCTGAGACACCTCTGGGTGAACTCAAACTTCCAACCTTTCAGTTAGTAGTCAAGTCCATAACCATTTGCACTACCCTGGGACTCCTAAGAGTATATACAAAATTTTTTTCTTTCTGTTGTGTATGTCGCATGGAAGGAGGATGGCAGCAGGCTGATTGTTCAATGACTTTGCATGTTGTGTTTCTTCAGTAGACCTTAACCTACATTTTCTTGCTAACTGCAGCAATATTTGAGTTCATACATAAGTTAGAACTGTGACTTATTAATTTTTTAACTAAGGCCTTGGAAGCTAATAATTAGACCATATCTAACCCTTTCTGTTCTTTTCTCTTTAGTGACCAAAGGGTAAAGAGCCCCTAAAGGGGAAATTGTGGTGGCTGTAAAGTTAAGAAGCAGTGGTCAAATAGGCTTGACCTGTCAGTACCTGGACACACATTCAGACAATACAGGGCACTGGGAGATTGGGGAAAGGAGGTGCAACAAGATAGGGGATGGGTATGAGTGCACCATTATTCATGAGTGCCAGTCATTGGGCTAAGTTACCAAGATATAGCAATATACAAGACACCATGCTGCCTTTAGGATATGCGTGGGAGGGAAAAGGGAGAACAGACAATGAGAAGACAGCATGATGAGACTGTGGTAGAGGTAGGCACAGAGAAGCATGGAGCACATGGGAGGAATGTTCAGGGATGGCTCCTTGAGGGATGGTATATCTAAGCTGAAACTCAATGAATGAGTGAAAATAAGTCAGATGAGAGGTGGAAAAGACCTTTACAAAGGGCTGGAGGAGCCAAGGGTTTGACTGAATTAGAGGATGGGAAAACTAGATGATAAATTCATATTAGTAAGTTTGGACTTTTTACCTGAGAGCTTTTAGGTTGACTAAGTTTTAAGCAGAGGAGTGAAATGGTGTGGCTTAGGTAAGAAAGATGATTCTAGCTAAAGTGTGGAGCTCAATCTAAAAAAAGACTACTCCATAGATGAGAGACTAGTTGGTGGTGGTTGCCCAAGAGAGATGACGTTAGTAATTTATGTCAATATCAATCAATCCACAATAGTATCAGAGATAACGGGTTGTGGAAGGAGCCCTAGAAATCATCTAGTGTTAGAAATCTTCAATGGGTAAAATGACATGGCCAAGATTGTATGATCAGTGGAAAATCAGAGCTGGGACTTAAACCAAAGTCTTATAATTCCAAATCTAGCTCTCTTTCCACTTTGTTCCCGTGGCCAGATATTGTTTTAGCTCCCAGTATGTGCAAAAAAGTTTTATTACATGCTGGAGGAGTAGGACAGGCAAAAAGCCTAAACTAATCTCTGCACTCTCAAACTTTTAATGATTTTTTTCATCGTCACCAGCCCTGTGCTTGGATTGTTCCCTGAAGTGCGGGTAATGGACAGAATGGAAGATGAAGACCTGGCGCTGGTGGGAATATGGCTGGGTGGGCCCAGTGGGCAGCTGAGGAGGTTTGGGATTTGGGCCTTATTATTACTAATGATACGTACTAAATTAGTATTTGATCCTTTATGCCCCATTTTTACTAGAATGAATTTAATATACCTATATGAGTGCATTTTATGCTGTTCCATAGAATAAAGTATCCCTACTGTGTCTATTTCCTAATTGTTTTTGTTAGCTGTCATTGAGTTGATCCTGACTCATGGCATCTCCATACACAATGGAACAAAATATTGCCCGATCCTGCAACATCCCCATGATGGGTTAAGAGCTGGACCTTTGGTTTACATAGGGTTTGCATAGGCTGCTTTTCACCAGGCCTTTCTTCCTAGCATATCTTAATCTAGAAGCTCTGCTGAAAACTATTCAGCATTATAGCAACATGCAAGCCTCCACTGGTAGTTGAGTGGTAGTTGCACATGCAGT